CCCCATCGCGCCCTCCCTCTCGGGGCAGTGAGGGCACAGCCACCCGGCCTGCGGAGTGCTCCTGGAGGGAGAGATTCTGATCCCAGAGCGGGGACATTCGGTCAGAATGCTCTACTCTCGCGGGACTGCGAGGAGTGAGGAGAAGGGGGCAGCCTCAGTGTCTCCTGTCCCCAAAGTGGGTACCCGTGTGCTCGACGGGTCACAGCACAAACCCCATTCCGAATTCCCCTGGGATCTACTGACCGACCAGTGAGTTCCCGTCAAAGGGGTCCAAGGTGGGGGAGGGAACAGCCGAGGGTGCCCTGGGCTCAAGCCCTGGGGCCAACTTGCTGTGTGATGTCCCCATCTTCCAGACGAGCACGTGGGAGCATGACTTGGCTTTTGCCCACACTAATGGCTATAAGAGCGGCCATAAGGGACTTGGGATGTTTCGTAGCATTAGGGACCCTCAAAGCACGGCCAGGGGGACGCTCCCGGGCGCAGGGAGTGTTCCTCTCTACGTGCTCCCCACAGCACTGCCAGGAGTAGCAGCGCCCGAGTAAACGAGGTTTGTTTGCATGTCTAGGACCACCCAGTAACTATCTGTTTTGGGGGGACAGGGGCTCCCAACAAGTGCTCAGGGGCCACTCTCGGCCTTAGTCAACCCTAGCCGGCATTTCCGTGCCTGAGGATGTGCTCGGTCCCTGAGGTGCTGGGGACCGCCAAGGCCACCCCAGTGGCCACATCATGCCAGGGCTTGAGCCCAGGTCAGGGCGTGCTGGGTACGTGCAGCCCTCCTCCCCACCATGTGGCCTTTTGTTAGGGGGCCACACCCAGCAGTGCTCAGGGCTGACTCCTGACTTTGTGCTCAGGGATCCCTCCTGCTCAGGGGACCATATGGGATGCTGGGAATCGAACCCAGGCTGACGGGTGCAAGGTGAGCTCCCTCCCCGTTGCACTATCGCTTGGGCCCCTGTTTATTATCGTGTTGAGCCTCAGCTCGGGTTCAGGCCCCACCTGGCCTCCATCTGTCCGTGATCAATCGGAAACACACACTCCAGCTAGACAGCCTCATTTAAATGCAGGGCACAACTCCCAGGAGGGTCCCTAATGCCACGAAACATCCCAAGTCCCTTAAATCTCCACTGAAATTTCGTTAAACGACCGTGTCACTCCTTTCTCCTCACTAGCCTGTCTCTGGGGAGCCGGGGGAGGGGGGATTTCCTGCTGCACTGACAGCAGAAGTGACATCCACAGACCCTGGCCAGGCCCTTCCCAGTGTGCCTGGACAGGACTGTCCATGTGCTGTACCGCCTTGGTGGGACATCGCTCCAACAATACCCTTCGTCATGGCAAACCTGCACTGTGTGTGCATGTGTGTGCGTGTGTGGCGGAATTTGGGCTGCACCTGGCAGTGCTCTGGGCTTACTCCTGACTCTGTGCTCAGTACTTGGGAAGACCCTGTACAGTTCTGGGGATGGAATCAAGGTTGGCAAGACAAATAGCTTAATTCCTATATTATCTTTTCTGACCCAACTCTGTCCTTCCTTCTTTCCTTCTTTCCTCCCCCCTCCCTCCTTCCCTCCCTTCCTTCCTTCCTTCCTTCCTTCCTTCCTTCCTTCCTCCCTTCCTCTCTTCCTTCCTTCCTTCCTTCCTTCCTTCCTTCTTCCTTCCTTCCCCGGTCTCATGCATGTCACCTCACCACTGACCTTGCTCCCTGCCCTTTGACCTATGGAGTCTTGCTGCCAGCCTTCCCTCTCCTCTCCCTCCCTCGGTGATGTCATTCAGCCTCGTGGCCTTAAAGAGCACCTAAGTCTTGTATCTTACTGCCTGCTTGACATTTCCGCTCAGATATTTAGTAAACAATGACAAAATCCAATGTGTCAGACTAACCCCTCATTGAATCCGCCCCAACTTCTCCCTCGCCGAGTTAAGAGCTCACTCAGTTCCCCGCAAGGCCATGGGCAGGTGGCCTTCGCCACCTCGTCCCCCCTCCCGCCATACTGGAGCTCACTGGTCCACCCTCAGGTCCGACAGGCCTGCTGCGACCCTCCTTCCCTGCCGCTTCCCTTCTTAGACTGACTCGAGGAGCATTTCCTAGCTCCTCCCTTCGCCCCTCCAGGTTTCTTCCGGGTTCACACCCAGCACCTCTGGGTCTCTGCGGGAACCCTCAGACCCTCCCGCTCCGGGACCAAACAAGGCTCCCAGCGGCCGCTTCCGCTGCTTCCTCTCTGCTTCGCTCAGCCTCCGAGCCGCACATGGAATCTGTCCATTTCCTCTGCCCTGGCACCTTCCTGCGCCCTCACTTCCTTCAGACCCCGCCAGGAGCGCCCCCCGTCTTGCTTTACTTGAGGCTCAGTTCAATTCCGCTTCTTCCCAGATGGCCAACGCCCCCTCATCCCGCTGTCCTTTGCTTTTCTTCTAATATATTGTGACTCATTAGTAGTTCCGGTGCCAGGGCATGGACACAGCCTTCTAATATATTAAGTGATCTTCTTGTGTCTATTCTGCATCATGTTTCCTCTCTGTCCTGTTCACTGCCGCAGCCTCAACAGTGTGATAACCGGGCCCCTGAGGCTGCTGGCCCGGGGATCCTCGCCTCGCCTGCGCCCAGGGAGGAGAGATTGGAAGTGCCCCCCCAGCCTCCCCCTTCTGATTCAGCTCACGTGAGGGGTCTCTCCACGCGGCTGCCCTGCCCTCCGATCACCTCGCCCAGGGCCAGGAACGCTTGTCCCAGGAAATCCTAAAGGCAGCGCAGAGTCAGGCCGGCCAGGGGCTGCAGGCAGGTGCGAAACCCACGCAGCCACCACCCGGCTGTGCTCTCAAGGACCCCCCCTCCCTTTCGGCAGTCCCCAGCCCCCTCTGCCCTGGCCCTGCTCACCTTCTGCAGCCGGGAGATGCCCGCCGTGGAGAGGAAGGAAGAGGAGCACTGAGCGGCGGGCGGCAGGAGAGGAGGGCAGGGAGGGGGGCTCTGGGGGTCGCGGGGACGTGGGGCTGGGGGGACGCGAGCTCACCGGTTTGGAGATGTTGGTTTTGGAGTCCACGTTGTACCTGGGAAGAGAGTGAGACCCGCATGGGGAGGAGAGGCTAGAGCGGGCCTGGGTAGCTCCTGGCTGAGCGAGGGGGCCTTGGACTCGAACGTCACCCCAGCTTCCTGGGGCAAGGGTCCGGGGGCGGGGCCCGGAGATGGGCGGGGCCTAACGTAGGCGGGGCCGCGAGGGAGCCCGCCGATTGGCCCCGCCCGGGGCGGGGCGGGGCCTCGCGCGAGGCCTCCACCCCCTCCTCCGCGGTGCGCCCGGAACCGGGCCGGGAGGAGCCGGGCCGGCGGGCGGGGGGCGCGGGGCACGGGGCGCGGGGGCACCGGGGATCTGGGCGGGCTCACACGTCGAAGCGCAGGTTCTGCTTCTCCTCGAAGAAGTAGTCGAGGACGAATTTGCGCACGAAGTCCGGGTTCAGCGTGTTGTCGATGACCTCGGTCCTCCCGAACTGGGGGGGCGGGAGCGGGCGGTGAGCGGCCGGGCCGGGCCGGGCCGGGCCGGGCCGGGCCGGGCCGGGCCGCGCCGCGCCGCCGCTCACCTCTCGCCACTCCTGGCTGGCCCGGCTCTGCGTGTACAGCACGGCCACTGCGGCGGGCGGGCGGGGAGGGACGGCAGGACGTCAGGGCCGCCCGCGCCCCCCGCCGGCCGCCCCCGCCCGGCCCCCGCGCTGCTGCCTACTGGGGTCCGACTTGGAGAAAGTGTCCAGGTCCAGCAGGTTCCTGCAGAAAGCGACACACGGGGCGGGTCGCGCCGGAGCCCACCGCGGGGGGCGTCCCGGGAAGTCGGGGGTCCGCGCGTCCTGCCACGCCGGCGCCCGCTGCGGGCGGGCGCGCGGGGTCGGGCGTGCGGGCTGGACGCGCGGGGGGCCCGGGGTCCGGGCTCGCCCCCGTCACTCCGTCCTCCTAAGGAGGGAGCCCCCGGCCGAGCCCGCCGCCCCCCGCCCGCGGCTCCCTCCGCGCCCCGCCCGGGCCCCCGCTCACCGGCAGCTCACGGTGATCTCGATCTTGGTGGCCGGGACGCTGCGCTCCGGGGGGCCGCCGAGGGACATGGCTGGGCCGGGGGCCGCGCGCGTCCGGCCCGTGCGCTCCTTCCCGCCGCTCGCGGCGCGGGCACTGTGCGGCCGGCGCGGCTCCGGCTGGCAGCGCGGCCCCGCCCGGCCCTGCGGGTGGCCCCCGCCCCATTGGAGCGGCGAGCCGCCGCGAGCGCCGCCGGACCCCCGCGTCCCCCGCGCTCCCCGCTCCCCCCCGCAGCCCTGCCCGGCCCCGGGCACTGTCCGTGGTGCTGAAGCGCTGGCCGCACTCGGGGGCGTGGGGAGCCTGTGCCCGAGGGGGCTCCCCCTCGACTTGTCCCGCCCCGCCCGCGCCCGGCCCGCCCAGGGCTCCGAAGAGGGAGGGTTCGGTCTGTTCTGAGCCCTGCGGCCTTGGGCAAGTTACCCCACATCTGTCTCATCAGGAAGATGGGAAGGGCAGTTCTTTGGGGTGCTGCAAAATCCCCCCAAGATCACCCTGCACAGAATTCAGCACTGAAGGTTCGCCAGAAATGCCCAAGAACTGTTGGCCCTTTTCTGTCCTCCCTCAGACCACCTCTCGTGGGAAGGGTCAGCGTGTGGCTCCATGCTGCTCCAGGCGGACCCCGGTGGGGAGGGTCAGCGGGACGCCCCCATGCCTAAGGCGGCCTCTCAGCCCCGGGCTCAGGCCTTCTGGAGAACTTGTTAGAAATGAGCCCCTCGGTGCCCACCCCAATTCCAGATGGCCTGGGAAGAAGAAAATTCCTTGGCGGAAGTCGGACCACCTTTGCCACTGAGTGTGTCTCCTCCATCCCAAGTAATGTCATGGGGAACGCGGGGCACAGCCATCTCTTCCCACTTCATTTGCAAGATGCCGCCACCCCCCCAGCACAAGGAATATGAGGCTCTCTGGTATCGCGCCCCCAGAGTGCAGAAAAGCAGCGGTTCAAAAAGACTCATTTTATTTTGTGATCTGTGTCCAACTGCCTCATTCTCAGTGCAGGTGCCCCATCCTCCCCGGGAAATAAGGGCCGGGGCCGGGGGTCTTCCATGAACTCACGGCCTCCACGAGGTCCCAGGAAACCCCACACCCCCCAGAACCAACGGGGCCCAGCAATGTGGGTGAGAGGCAGTGAGGTGGGGGTGGTGGGCAGTCAGGAAGCGGAGGTCGCAGAACCTTGTCCTGGTTCCTGCTAGGCTTTGGGGCTGCCCTGTACATCGCGGGCAGGGGGGAGGTTTCTCCCCCCACCCTGGCTTCGAGGGACCCCTGGGCCAGGCATGGCTTTGGTTCCGCTCAGGGCTCAGGTGAGAGAGGAACAGGAACTGCCGCGGGAGGTGGTTCAGAAGGCGCTGCTGCCGGTGCCACGGAGCCCCACGCCGCGGACGAACTGCTCCAGCAGACCCCCGATTGCGGCTGAGGGGCTGGGGGCAGCGGTGCGAAGCCCCACGGTGCTGCTGTAGGCCGCCAGGAAGGCCGAGCGCACCTCCTGCAGCCGGCTCTCCCGCTCGCTCAGCGCCGCCAGCCTGCGGGCAAGAGAGAGGCAGAGGGTGAGGGGGCCCCTCGGGGGTTCCTGCTGGGAGCTGGGGCTCCTGGGTGACCCTGGGTCTAGAAGGCTGGGGAGACAACGGTGCCTGGCGCCCCATGCAGGGGGGAAGCGGGGCGGGCAGGAGTGCCAGCAAGTGGCTCTGGGTAGCAATGAGGCTCAGCGATGCCTCCTGGGGTCACCCCATCAGGAAACCGAGCTCGGCTGTCAAAGGCTCCGCCCTCTCGGAACAGGACAGCCTGGCCGGAGTGAGTTCCGGGAGGTTCTTCGACAACGTGCAAGTTTTCTTGTTTTTAAAAAGAAGCTGGAGTATAGGCCACAGGGCTCCAACGTGCAGCCAGAAGGGGAAGGACGCAGACTCGGAGGTCAGGGACACGCAGGGCTCCCCGGCTGCTCTCCAGGGACCAGATTATCTGGGAAGAGCCGCTTCCTATGTGCTCAGACTAGACCTGCCTGGAACCCCCTCCCCCGAGGGTCCTCAGAGAAGCCTGGCAAGTCCTTTCCGGGACCATCAGAACCTGCAGCCAAACTGCTGGTCCCGACAGAGAGCAGCCTGAGAAGGGCAAGGGGCATCTCTTGGCTCTGTGGGAAGCCCAGGTTACTGCTTTGGCTTTTCCTCGGGTGTGTAACCAGGAGAAATGCTGAGCTAGCCCTTTCCAGGGACAGCCAGAGACCCTCAGGCTTGCTTTCTCACAGGCCCTATTTCCGGGTCAACTAAAGAGCAAAACCTAGACAAGAGGGCCCCGGGAGGCCAGGCAGTGATGGGCAGCCGGGTGCAGTGACCACAGGCCATTTCCTCTAGGGAGATGCTCCCGGACTCAGCTCTGGGCAGCGTCTGGGCCGTCTCCCTGACAACAGATGGTCAGGCCCAGCAGCCCAGGTGACAGCGCGGAATCCACCTCACAGGGTCTGAGACCATGCGGAGGAGGGCCCAGCCCTCCCAGGAACCAGCCAGAACGGAGTCTCGGCCCGTCCGCTCGCAGCTGCCCTTCTCAGTGACCAGAGCGCGTGACGTAGGCTCGGGAACCTGTCAGAGCAGCGCTTGCCTGTCTGGCTGTAGCAGGAAGGTCTGCCTGGAAGGCAGACAACCACCTTCAGCATCCTTGAAGACCTGCCAAATGGGCCCGGAGCCACAGCACAGCGGGGAGGGCGCTGGCCCAGCACGTGGCCAACCCGGGCGCCATCCCCGGCACCCCAGATGGTCTCCCGGTGCCCACCAGGAGTGGGGAGCACAGAGGCAGGAGTAAGCCCTGATCAACTCCGGGTGCCACCCAAGGAAGCAAACAACCCCCTGCAAATCCCACCCAAGGCCTGGAGAGCGTTCAGCGGGTTGGCGCGCGGGGCTGGGCTTGATCCGCGGCCCACCCCGTTCTCTGAAGAGCGACGCAGCGAGCAGGGAGCTGGGAGCAGCCCTGACACCCACAGGACGGCCACAAGCCCAGAATCAACTGAAAACCTGACGGGTCTCTCCGCGGGAAGGACCTGGTGGCCGAGGAGGCTGCGCGGGCACAGTGCCCCTGGCTGCTGCCCAGATCCATCGAGGAATCCCTCGGCAGGGAGCGGCTCAACTCCCCAGAGGAATGTCTCCCAACTGGCCACGGCGGGGGACGGGACTGGCCTCCGGCGTGGGCTGAGCCCCGGAGAGGGCGGCAGGCCCCGCTCCCCGGAAGCAAGTAGAGGGCACACAGTGGGGGCGGAGTTAGGCTCCGGGCAGGGGCAAGCAGCCGTGCGGCTCCACACTGACCCTCGCTGCCCCGCTATCGGCTTCCGAGGAGGCACGTGTCAGGCTCAGCCTGGGCGGAATGGAATCTTCGGGAGTGGAGTCCCGTCACTTCCCAGTTTCCCCCAGCGGGCTGGCGGCTGGTGAGAGCAAGCACCGTCACAGCGGCCCCTCTGTCCTGGAGGGTCGCCCCCCGCGCCTGCAGCTGCCTCGGGCCTGGCCACCAGCCGGTGCTGATCCGGGCAGGGGCGCACCTGCCTTCTGCAGACACTTACAGACAACTGTTAGGGAGCTCATCCGGGAAGCTGAAAGGGAGAGAAGAGTCGGGGTGCAGGCCAGCCCGCTCCTGAATACTGCCACAGCCCGTGACCATCTGCCAGCTGCCACAGTCTGTGGAGAGGGAGGATCCGGGAAGGGGACGGTCCACTGATCTGGGGCAGAGAGGAGAGATGAGGCACAGTCAGTCAGGCCTGGCAGGGCGGCGGGGTCGGGGCACACGCTTCTCTCGTGGAGTGTCTGTGCGCGGACAGCTGGACGCAGTGACCGAGAGACCAGAGGCGGGTGCGGCTGGAGGAGCAGACGGGCAGCGGAGCCAGGGCGAGGCGTGGGGCCGAGAGGTGAGCCACAGTCTCCACAGCGCCAGGAGGAGGGGGCAAGGCTGGGCACCCGGGAACAGGGACACAGGATCCTCTCCATGGTGGCCGAGGGACCTGGAGGTCACCGGGGACGAGCCAAGAGATGCTGCAGAGGATGACGGGAGGCAGAGTGGGCCTGGTCTGCATTCACAGTGGCCGCTCAGCCGGCTCCCTGGCGGTGCCCGGGGGCAAGGGAGGCATTAGGCGCGGAGACGCTTCCTCAGGCCCTTCCCGGGGGCAGGGGAGCTGCCCCCCCAGCCGAGCCCTGCGCTGCGGCATCACACAGGCCCCGAGGCCCCGGAGGTGCAGCCGCTTTGATGCCGACCCTTTATTCCCGATCCCGGAATAGCAGGCCCAGCTCCGTAGGGACCAGACAGAGCGCGAGGGCGCCACAGGGCGGGCACGGGCGCCTGGCACAAAGCCTTCTGCACCTCCACCTCTGAGGTGGGCGCGGCAGCTGGGGGCAGTGGAGAGACGTGCCTGGGGCCCTGCAGAGGCCAATTCTGAGGGGCCAAGACAGCAGGAGCCGCCTCAGAGCCACCGTGGTCTCCACGATGCAGGTCAGGACCCAGGACGAGACGGGAACGGGGCGGGGGGGCCAGAGTCGGGGAGGGTCAGCCCCAGGCTGCCACTTGGTGCAGGGGCAGGACTGTCCCTCGCCCGTTGCCAGAGGGTCCCTGCCCCCAGGCAAGGCAGGGCTGCAGCCCCTGGACCCCAGATGCTTCCGGCTGAAGGGACGCTCAGTGCCCAGGTGTGAGAGCCAGAGGCCCCGCGAGCCAGCCGGGGTGAGCCGGCTACAGGGACACCCCAAGATGGATGGAAACGTCACAGGGAACGCTCAGGGCCTGGGGGGTGGGGGTGGGGTGAGGAAACGCTTGGTCAACTGCAGCACAGGCGCCAGCCTGCACCGGGCCGCCGCGTCTCCCGCCCACACACCCGTGGTCAGCGTGGAGCCACGGTCCACCTCAGGTGGCAGCGGGCTCCCGGGAGGCCAGGTTGCGGCAGCAGGCTGTCGCCGTGGCGCCGCAGCCGCCCAGACGCTCAGTGGACGCAGCTTCACAGATAGGACCGCTGGGTCAGGGATGGGCACAGTCACAGTGGGCCATGGTGGGGGCCGGGATTGCCGCGTGTCAGGGACGCCGGTGGCCCTCGCACGGAGCCCCGAGGGGTCACTTCCGCTCTCAGATGGGATGAAAAGACAAGTGCAGGAAGGAAGGCATGTTTCCCGGTTACAACACGAGAGACACCAAAAATGGAACCGGGGTCTGCCGCGCGCGCCACCTGTCAGACATCAGTCCTGAGCCAGGTGGAGGGGTGAGGAGGGCGGGAAGGGTACAGGAGCCGACCAAGCCACCCCCCAACCCCTGCCTCATTCACAAGTTCTCTGTGCACGTTTGACCCCCTGGAGACGGTTCCCACCAACGCCTGCGTCTGAACCCCTCACCTGCGGGGGACCCCAGGGCCCTCCTCAGCCCCAGCCAGTGGGTCTGACATGAGGAGGGAACAAAGGCTGGGCCCCGGCTGATCGAAGCACCCCCCGGCCTCTAGACTAAAGCCCTCAGCCCGACGAGGACAGAAATTACAGAGCAACGTGTCTCAGAGACAGCAGGACACGCTTCCAGCCCCGCCTGGAGACGGCAAGGGGCCTTTCCCGCCCAGGCCTGGCGCTCCTGCAACGGCCCGAGGGGTCTCTGGGGCTCCAAGTTTCCTCAAGCAAGGCTTCTCAGCACTGTCGCCGGGAGAAGGGGTGAGGGTGGGCAAGCGCTCGACTGCCCCGAGGAGCTCCCCCAGGGACAGTCAGCCGAGTGCTGACCACCCGGGCCCTGAAGAGGCCCAACTCAGAGAGAGGACTCTCCGTCTCTCGTTTTGGGGCCACACGCGGCAGTGCTCAGGGATCACTCCCGGCGGAGCTCGGGGGCACTAGCAGTGCCGGGAACTGAACCAGGTCGGCTGCGCGCAAGGCCGGCGCCCGCCCCCATCCCCGTCTCCTGGTCAGCGCGCACGGGCCAGCGTCCAGCCCCCCTGGCCCCGCACTCGGGCACACCCGCAGCAACTCCCGCTGAACTTCCTTCCCAAACAACCTACTTAACTTTGCCAACACCTCCCTTCCCCACGGAGGGCGGCGGCTTCAGAGATGCGGGTGGAATGTGGAGCAGATGGAACCCAGAGAATTCCCACTGGGGGGGACGGCGGCTGTCACAGCCAGCTTGACGGGAGGGTTTCTGTCCCCACGTTTCCCCCTCCGCACCGAGAAGCTGATTAACTGTGGTTACCTAAGAGGCAGGAAACTAATGACAGGATCCCTCAGGCGCTTCAAGATAAGAGACCAAATTAGTTTGAACGTTAATGGGAATACATAATTAGAATGTTCCCAATCTCAATAATCTAGTCTTTCAAGCCAGAATCTTGTCTCCTGGCCAGTCCAGCCTGGCTCTAAGCGTGGGGGGCGGGGGGGGGGGGGGTTGCCAGAAAACACAAGACAGAGCACGTCCCTGTGGGCCCAGCCTGCACCCCTAGAGCCCAGGCCTCTGCCCAGCCTCCGCAGGCCACCTGGTGCAGGCTGGCCTCGACGTGGACATGGGCAGGGAGGGGAAGCTGGGCACGGAGACCCCCGGGGAGTGGCCTCAGCCCAGCACCGCAACAGCGGACAGTTCAGATCTGAGCAGGACTCAGAGGCCAGAGGCCTCTCCCGCGTCCTCCAGGGGCCCATGTGAGCAAAGCAGGCATGCAGACGGGAGCGGCGCGGTGGACAGTCAGCGAGGCGCGGGGCTGACGCGGTCACGGTAGGGCGCCCCTTGCCCCCTGCCCAGCTGCTCCCCTCCGGTGGGCATCGGCCGCCCAAGAGAAAGCTCGGGATAGTGACGGAAGGAGAGTGCCAGAGTTTCCTCGTAAAGGACTCAGGCTCCAGGCAGGTCTGGGTAGGAGCAGGGGCCCGACACTCTGATCAGGGATCGCCCCGACACCCAGTGCCCCAGTCTGGCGCCTTGGCTGGGGCCTCAGGAGCAGCAGGCCGGCAGGGGCATGCGGGGGACGGCGAGGGAACAGCTCTTGGCCGGGGTTGGGAGACCCGCAGGCCTGCTCCCGCCCTACCCTGCTCGGGAGCGCATCTCCATCATCCTGGGAGCTCGGGGGTCCGCGGGAGCTGCCTGAGGACGCCTGGGACCTCGCAGGGCTGGAGGGTGTCTCACCTGGGTCTGGGCACCTCCAGGGGGCTGCTGCCGATCCTGAAGAAGCTGTCCGAGTGGTTCGAGGATGAGGAGCTGGAGGACCTGGCTTCCAGCAGGCCCGGCTGGCCGGGAGTACGGTCCTCGGTGGGCTGCGGCCGGCCCCAGAGCACGCTCTGCGGGGAGGACGAGTGGGCCTTCCTCCTGCAGCGAGTGGGAAGGCAGCTGTGGTGGCCTGTCTCGGCCCAAACCCTGGCCCCAGCACGCGCTGGGTCAGCGGAGCCGTAAGGGGCTCTCGGCTCAGAGCCTGGGGCCCGCCCCGGGGCCGGGAGCGGATCTTGTCTGCCTCAAGGGGAAAAGCCAGAGCGGGCGCAAGACTCCAGCAGAGCCCTGACAGCTGCACCCCTGCCGCTGCCTTTCCGGTTCCTTGCCCGGAGCAGGCCTCCCGCCTCACAGGCCGCCTCCACCTGGGAGCCCCCCAGGGTGCCCCTTAGCTCAGCCGACCCAGCTCTGCTGCTTCGTCCTCCAGCCACGGGGGAGCCCTGCCCCCCGCCCCCCAGCCAGATGGCTGCCTCCAGGCCCCGCTGAGACAGCAGGCTTGTGTGGGGGGGTGACCCCTTTGTTCCCAGGGCTCCCCAGGGTGGGTGCCCCGGGCCACCGCCGTGCTGAACTCCGCGCCGGCCTGGCCCCTTACCAAGCGGCCTGGGTCTGCGGCCCGGCGGGGACGAGCTCCACGGACTCGTAGGTGAAGCTGCCGGGGCCGGCGCCGGGCGAGCTCTCCAGGACCAGGGAGAAGTCGCTGCCCAGGCTGGTGGTGCTGCCACGGTCCTTCCGTCCTGCAAGAGACCGGCGGGCCCAGCAGCGCTTCAGTCCCTCTCCCTGCCCCTTCTCCACCCACAGACTGGGAAGAAGCGTCTAGAAAGATTCCCGTGTGCTCGGTACCCGGGGAAGTGCGAGGAAGGGGACACTCACTCATCAAGCAGATGTCCTCCAGGGTGAAGCCGTCCCGCGCGGGCAAACTCTTCCTCCTGCAGGCGCCCCAACAGACGGTTTTAGATGGGGCGGCCCCTGCTCCGCGCCCCCAGAAAGCAGCTCCAGGCCGTCCCCGGGGGTGGAGGGGAGGTGGCAGGACTGCGGGGCTGGGGCAGTGTGCACCTGGGACCCCCCTCTCCCCAGGCCCTGCCTTCCCAGCCCACAGGGCCCCTCCGGGTGCCTGGCCCGGGGGAGCGCAGCAGCGCCCCCTACCTGTGTGTCTTCAGAGCAGAGAACTCCTCAGAGATGATGTGCTTCAAAAAATTGAAGCAGAAGAAGAAAATCTGGAAGAAAGCGAAAAGCGGCCTGCCTGGGCGGGGTCGTGGCAGCCAGACGCCCTGACCCAGGGCACGGGGGAACGGCCTCTTCCCGGGATGCGAGTCCGTGATCTCTCAGACCCTCTCTAGACCCCACACACACGCTCCCGGGCTATCGGAGGCTGGAGTCAGGGGCCAGGGAAGCCTCTCACGGGGGGCCCGGGTGAGGCCCTGGGCTAGGCCCCAGCGCTGCCAGACGTGTCAGAATCAACGGTAAGAATAACAGCTGCTGCCGGGGAAGGGGGCAGAGTCCCCTCCTAGAGCAGGAGCCCCCCAAACCGTGCCGCAGGAGAAGGCGGGGTCCGGAGCACAAGCGGAGGAGGGTCTGTCCTCCACAGCAAACCCTCCGCTCTGCGCCCAGTGGCCGCACACCCCAACGCGGGCCAGGCCTGTCACCCGTTAACCTGGCAGGCACCCACTGGGGAGCCCAGGGAGATCTCTGGGAATAAGAGGGGAAAGAGGAGAGTCCGGACGCTGGCCTGGGGGGCTTGAGCGCCAAGGCCCACCTGACCCAGCTCCGACAGTCCCGTCTCTGGAGGCACATGTGGCCTGCGGGAGTGGGCCAGAATGTCCCGGAGAGCTGCGAGTGTCCAAGGGAGGCGTTTCCAGACCAGAGTCACTGTGGCTGCATTCAGAGGCCTCGGAGGACTCGGTGCCCAGGAGGTGGGCACGCAGGTGCGGGAGGGGAGTGGAGCCGCTCCCAGGGAGAACAGGGGGCGGCATGAAAGCCAGAAGGACCACCTCGGGGGGAGACACAGCTGCCTCAGGAGGGGACACAGCCACCTCAGGGGACACACAGTCACCTTAGGGGAACACCTAGCTGCCTCAGGAAGGCACACAGATGCCTCAGGGAGACAGCCGCCACCTGAGGAGAACCTGGTGGCTAGGCCCAGAGAGACACCTAGGAAGGGCTCCGTGTGGACACCAGGAGACCTAAAGTTACCTCATGCTCCAAGGTCACTACTTCATCCAAAGACCCCTGGATACTAGAAGAGACACCAGGCTTAGGGCCCAGTCGGGTCTGTGGTGGGGGGGAGGGGGGATGACAAGCATCTCAAGGAGGTGAAACCAGGCCCAGCTGCAAAAAGGGCAGGACATGGGGGCAAGGAGGGCCGGGCCAGTGAGGAAGGGGCCCTGGGCCCGCTGGCCATGCTGGGGGCGGACGGGTCGCTAGCGAGAGCCCTGAGAGGGTTTCTGGGCCCCAGAGCCAGTGCCAGAGGGCAGCAGGAGATGGACACACGAGGGGCCTGGACGCCAGGCTGTCTTGGGGTGCGTGCGGGGACCCAGCGGGGACCTTCCCGACGGCTCCCAGCACGGCGCAGCGAGGACGCGTCCCGCGGGTGGACACGGGTCCCCCTGGTACCCACCTCCTCTCCCTTGCTGAGCCGGTCCACCAGCATGTGCCTGCGGCAAGAGGGGCGGGTCAGGCCCCACACGGAGCAGCCCCCCAACACGGGGCCCCAGCCCCCCACCCCGACAGCGGCTGCCGAGACGCACCCGAAGAGGAACCAGTCGTAGGCGACCGTCAGGTAGAGGATCTCGGCGGGCTTCAGGGACGTGTGGATGAGCCCGTCCTGGGGACACGGGGGAGGCGCCGGACGCGGTCAAGCCCCCGCCGCCTCCCGGAGGGACCCCGCCAGCATGCCCCCGCGACTCACCGCCCACAGGGAGAGACGCAGCAGAGAGATGAAGAGGGGGGTCCGATCCCAGCCGGAGATACAGTGGACCAGCAGCCCGCTGTCATCTGCTCGGGCACAGGAGACCGGGCTGACGGGACAGGGCCGTGCCACCGCCTCCCGCCCCCCGGAAAGGCCTGCGGCATCCTAGGTTCTGACCACGGGCCTCGAGGTGTCCTGGGGGCTACGCTTTCCTGGACTGTCCATTCAGGGAGCTGACCCCCAGGGCAGATGCCTCAGGTAGGACAGGAGGTACACGGGGGTCCCCCCGCCCCTCGTGAGGCAGTCACGCTGGGACCTACAAGCCTACCCCCCGCGAGGCCTGCTTACGGCGAGGCCCAGGGGGCTGAGCTGGTCCCACGGGCCCGGAGGACGGGTAAGGCTGCCGCCACACAGGGCCCCCGAGTGCTTCTCCGGCAGAGCCCAGGGGCGCCAGCGACTCACCGTCGCGGGTGACGATGGAGAGCAGCAGTTTCAGGTAGTTTTGTGTTTGTTGCACCAGGTCCCAACTCTGTTGGAGAAGGATCAAAGTGATCTAGAAATAGGCAGCTCAGACCGGGGATTTAAAGCGTTTAAGGAATAAAATGCCAAGAGTTATTCCGGGTGAGAGGAGCCAAGACTCTCGGTCAGAGGCCCATCCCCGGATAAGCCCAGACTTGGGGACATCGGGGAGGGCACGGGGAGCCGCAGGGCAGCTGCCGGGCAGAGAACAGCGTCGGCCGCGGGGCATGGGGGTCAGGCGCCCGCTGGCGGCAAGTCACTTGCTACAGATGCAGCCTCGGTGGACAGAATCTTCTGAGACGGGGCTGGGGCTGCTCTAGGCGGCCGCCCCGGGGCCGGCTCGGTTCCAGGCCCCCCTCACCCAGCCGCTGAGCTGTGCACCTTCCCAGGGGTGGGCGGGAGGTTCCCCGGGGAACCGGAAGCGGCTCCTTTACCTGCCCCTCTTTTGGCAGCACCAGCTCCCCCCTCCCCGCCTTCTCCCCCCCCCACTCCCGCAGCTGCTCTGGTCTCGCCGCGGACCTGCCTCCCTGGGGGACCTCCTTCTACAGTGGCCGGGAGGGGCCCAAGGGCTAAGCCCAAGGCTCAACCGCCCCCAGGTGGTCGGCTCCTGCCGCCTGTCTAGGCAGAGCCGAGGTGGACAGTCCAGCAGGAGGCCCACCGGGAGGGCACTGGGAGAACAGCCCCCGGGGGGGGGGATTCCAGAGCACGGTACCGGCAGCTGAACCCCGGACAGGACACACTCAGGTCACCCCAGGAACACCCCGGAGGCCCAGGTGGGGGTACCCGAGGGTGGCCCTGGGGTGCGGTCAGCCCAGCAACAGGCCCCCGTGCTGCGCGGGTCTAGCAGGTCAGCAGGGGGGTTTTGTGATTTAGGGCTTTTGCTCTGTTTGGGACCACACCCAGCAGTGCTCAGGGCTTCCTCCTGGCTCTGCATTCAGGAACGACTCCTGGCGGTGCTCGGGGGACCATATGGGATGCCGGGGATCGAACCCTGGTTGGCCATGTGTAAGGCAAACGCCGTCCCCATGTTCTATGGCCCTGGCCACATAGAGGTGGGTTTTAAGACAGAGCGGCCGTGACAGAGAAGCCTGCCCCTCTGCCGACTCCTGCAGACCACACTGGACGCCCAGGTGGCTGCCCTCACACAGGACACACCACAAGGGCAGGGGCCCGGCCAGGCTGGTGGCAAAGGGTCCGAGGGTTCCGGGCGGAGTGTGGGCTGTGAGCTGGCCAGGCTGGGTCTGTGCGGTTCTGTGCAGGGAGCAGCTGGGCCTGGAGCCAGGGGTCAGCAGGACGGAAGGCCACGGGGCAGAGGGATCAGACGGGGGAGTGTGGTGAGCCCTTGCCGTGGCGAGTGATGGGCCCCCACGAGGAGCTGTCAGGCATCTGACCGAATGAGGTCAGGCAGTCAGCACTTCTGCCGTGGGACGTGTTTCAAGGAAAAATGAAGTCACGAGAGCCAAGGCCAGGAAAAGCCCCGAGGCCTGTGGGAGCCCCCGGAGGACACGAAGCCGACACAGCACTTAGAACAAACCACCACAGAGAGTTTGTGCCTCGAGCCCCGGGCTGAGAGGACGTGGGCCACAGGGGTCTGCACACAGACAAGGTGGGGGTCCCCTGGGCCTCAGGGGTCTACAGAGATGGGGTGGGGGTCCCCTAGCCACAGGGGTCTGCCCGTCCCAGGCCTCACCTGATACTGGCTCCAGTCAATGCTCAGGGAGCACGTCAGGAAGTCGGGGATGCTGAGGGGGGCGTCAACGTAGTCCTGGGGGGAAGGGATGGAGTGAGGTGCGGGCCAGCCCCAGGGAGACAGGGCAGGTGGCGGCGGGCGCTGTGGCCACCTCAGCGGGGTGGCAGGCCAGGTCCCTCTGTGGCCTGGGGGGCGCCCTGTCTCGGGGACAACGTGGCAGACGCTCCAGCCAGGGTCCATCTGCTGCCACCCGAGGAGCAGCGTGCCGGCCCCCACCCCAAGGACGGTGGGCACGAGGGCCTGTCCCTGTCCCCACAGACAGACGTTGGGGCAAGGGCCCGTCCTCACAGCCCCTGAACGTGCCTTTCCAGAGGAGGGACCCCCAGGTGTGGGGGTGCGCAGCATGCCAGGTGGGGGGAGGGGGAAATGGGGTCCACTGGGAGTGCGAGAGCCGGGGCCGTTTCCGCAAGCCCCCAGCCGGCCTGCACTGACCTGCTTCCAGTTGAAGATGAGTCCTTCCGCCTGGTAATCCCGGTCCTTGTACTCCTTGAAAAATTCACAGCCTGGGAGAGAAGCGTGGAGTCAGGGTGGCCCGGCCCGACCTCGGTCTGTGGGGGGCTGGGCTGGGGCTCCCAACCTCCCTGTCTCCCCACCTGGGCGCGGGGCGCTGGACCCCTCCTCCACATCCCCCAGGCCCAACAGCCCCGGGGGTGGAGACCTCTCTCCTGACGCCCACCCCTTGGGTGGACAGTGCCGGGATGTGCTGGGCGCTGAGTAGACCAGCAGGGTCTGCTTCTCGCTAGAAAGCTTGTACGGAGCTGGCGGGCAGCCCTCCAGGAGAGGCGCAGGGGTCAGGGGTGGGGGACAGAGGGAGACCAGGAATCACTCCTGGTGGTGCTTGGGGGGCGGCCATATAGGGGTCGAGCCTGGCTCAGGCGCGGGCGAGTGCCCGCCTGCTGTCCCACCGTCAGCTCCCAGGGGAGTACACCGCAGGGAGCAGGCGCAGAGGACCATCCTGAGGCCACCCACCGCTGCCCCCCGGGGCCCGCACACGGTGAGGTCTCCAAAGCAACACTACAAGCGGCCACAGGCTGACGGGCTCACGGAACTACACCAAGTCTGGCCTGGGCTCTGGTCCTGGGAAGATGCAGAGGAGGCCGCAGGCGAGGCCCCAGGTGGCAGGCGGGACACTCACGCCCCCGCACGGTAATCCCCAGCCCTGGTGCTCTCTGGGATGAAGGAAACATAAATACCAGGCAGAGGCGCTGAGCCTGGAGCCCGGGTCACAGACACCAATTATCTGAGAGCAGAAGCAATTTCCCCGAGAGCCGGGAGGGAGGGAGCCGTGGCCGCTCCTGGCGGAAGAGGCTTCTGGAGCCCCGAGAGGGGCGGAGGATGGGCACAGCCGTCCACTTGGGCCGTCCACTTGGGTGGGACAGACTCCGCACCTGCCACGGGTTTCAGGGCCCTGAGGAAAGTGCTCCTGGAGCACTCCTCAGGTGACTGGGCCAATTTCCGTTTGGGCCGGGTAGGGAGCAGCTACAGTGGACCCTAGTGGGAGATCCAGAGTGGTCACTGAAGTGACGCTGACCTGGTGCGGCTGTGCTTTCCTGCTGGGGCACACGCCAGAACTCCAGCAGTGGCCGGAGGGCGCCCCTCAGCGCATGCTCCTTCTCGAAGGGGACACGGCCCCATGGCATGCGGGGCCACATTGCCGGATCTGAGGCCACTATCAGCAGGCGTGGCCCCGGCCCCCCACACCAGCAGCTCACGTGGGAGGCAGCCGTTAGGAGGCTCTCGTGCCTGCAGACTCCCTCAGCAGGGGCTGGAGCAAGACTCAGTCTGCCGCGGCAGAAGCGGTCCCCTCAACCACGGTCCCAGCGCCATCTCCACGACTGGTTTCGGGCGACTCTGGCCTAAACTTAACACGCCCACAGCTGCACCCGGAGTATTTCTCCTTATAATCTCTACGTGAACTTCTGTGTTTCTGTCCTGCAGACAGCAGCATCGCTCATATGACGGTTAGGCCAATGCACCCCAATTCATCCTGGGAGTTCAGGGCTCCCCCCGGCTCTGCCCTCAGGGAATCACTCCTGGTGGCACTCAGGGTACCACATGGGGGGGACCAGGGACCAAACCCAGGTTAGCTGTGTGCAAGGCAAGCCCCTCCGCTGTGTTACTGGGGGACACACCTGGTGGTGCTCAGTGATCACTCAGGGCACCGGGGGCCGCCGGGGACCCAGCCCAGGCCCGCTGAGCCCCCTCCCGGCCCACTCCCCGTTTTGTATAAACAGACACAGGTGCACTTAGCCCCAAAGGGCCCAGGCGAACGAGTCCCCGATGAACGAGTGAACAAACAGGCCCCGGGGGGGTTAACTGGGGGGTTTATGCTCTGTGTCGCTGGGAACAGACCCGGGGTCTCAGCCACAAGCACTGGGGGGCTCCGTGAGAGACTGAGCCACTGGGACGCGGTTATCAAGCCAGAACACATAAACGAGGACAACGCCTGCCCCCTCAGAGTGTGAGACGGTGGGTCCCCCAGGCTCTGCCCCAGGGGACTGTGGGGGGGCTCCCTGGGCCTCCCTCCCTGCCAAGTGCTCGGCGCTCCCCCAGGTCTCCAGCTGGCACAGCTCGGAGACTCCTCCCGTGGGTGGGAGAAGCGACGCACAGGAGGCGGGTGCAGCCTGCTCAAGGGCACACGGCTGGCACCTGCTCAGCGGGCAGGACACCGCAAGGAGATGCCACGGGGGGGCGGGGAGGGGGACTTGGTGCCAACTGTTCCCACAAAGACCATACGGCTCAAACAAGGTGGCCTTGGGGCTGACAGCACTGAGGGTCCTACTGGGCCTGCTCTGCAGGGGGGCGGGGGCGCTCCAAGCGGGGCCGACGCAGCCAGCACGGATGGGGGCCGGGGCCGGGGCTGGCCTCGCCTGGTGGAAGCTGGGCGCCACCAGAAGGGTTCAGTGCGGGCAGTGGGCAGAGAGCACTGTCCGGCCCAGGGCACAGCAGGCCTTTGCAGCACGGGGACCGACATGCCACCATCTCCCAGGGGACAGCAGCTGGGGCCCGCCACCACCAACGCCCCACCTGAAGCTCCGAGAGGAGGACAATCATGCGCAGGGCCACAGTTCACACATGCCACGGCCACGCGCAGGGTCACCATCACGCGAGCCAGCGCTCACGGCATTACGGACACACGCTTATCCTCGCTGCCCTGAAGCAGTGACCCCTGAGCTGAGTCTTTCCAAGCTCCAGCTGGTCCTGAGGACCTGGGCCAGGAGCGAGGCGTGATGCCCACGCTGGGCACCTGCCACCACGTGTGTGAGGCCGCGCGTCACGGGCCTACCTGGGTACGGGATGGACAGGAGGGTGAAGTCGGCGTAGCGCTGGGCTTTGTCCACCTTCTCAGAGGAGGTCACACTACAAGACAGGACACACATGTTATGGCATCACAACACACCTGCACACACACCATTCCCCGATGACACACGCACCATTCTCCAAACACACACACACACGCTAGTGTGGCCACCTCGGCAGGAACTGAAGCTACACGGCCACCGAGCACCTCAGCCCCATGAGGCCAGCACGGACACTCCGGTTGGAGGTAAACAAAATGAGAGCCAAGTAATGGACACCCTGTCCCAGAGGTCGCCCAGGGAACCCCTCTCCAGCGCAAGTTGCAGTGCCCCCGAGCCCTGGGCAGCTCAGCGGTGGGGGGGGGGGGGGGGGGGGAAGGGGGAGGCCTGGGGCCCGGCCACCATGCGAAGAGGGGCATGCCTGGGACGGGCTGCAGTGCCCCCGAACAGCTCAGGGGGGAGGAGGCCTGGGGCCTGGCCATGGTGCAGAGAGGGGCAGGGTCTGCCCTGACCACAGTGTTTCTGCGGCAGCCACTTCGGAGGATGAGAACTAGGACAAACACAACTTCTGAAAAAGGCCCCGCAATTTCATCACCCCTAACCCAAGCTCTCATCTCTAATTTTTTCCCTCTATTACAAGAACATCTGGCCCAGGTGTGTGGGTCCCACCCCAGGGCTGCACGCAAGCGAGGCAGGTCCTCCTCCGCTCCTCAGCGGAGCTCCGTCCCCACTCTCGTTAGTCTTGGGGGCCACACCTGGCGGTGCTCAGGGCTTACTCCCGGCTCTGAGCTCAGGAATCAGTCCGGGAGGCGCTCTGAGGTGAACCGAGGATTGAGCCCAGGTCGGCCGTGTGCCAGGCCAGTCAGGACGGCGGCTCCAGCCCCGGGTCCGAGTGTTCTGCCGCAGTAGCAGCCCGCCCCCGTCCTGCAGATGGCCCCATGGACTGACCAACCTTCTCACCGCGGGCCAGGGGCTGAAGAACTCTGCCCACCCAGAGCCCGAGTCTCTGACCCGTGAGCACGGGATGTGGAGGGTGGACGGGCAGGTGGCGGCTGAGCACTGGGCAGCGCCTCACGACCTGGAGCCAGAGACAGGAGCCCCATGCGCAAGTCTCCTGCCTGCGGGAAGGGCCGGGGACAGGCCTGGAGGCCCCTGCGCTCCGCGGTGGGCCCCGTACGTACTTCATGCCAAACTTCACCTTCTTGTTCTCCACCATCAGGTCACAGATGTATTTGACCGACAGATACCGCAGCAGCTTGATGTCGTAGCCCCGGACCTTGTCGAACAGATGCGTTTCTGAGCTCCTGAAACAAAGCCAGAGAGGGAAGTCGGACCCTTGTCCCTTTAGAGAGGTCTGGGGTTTGGGGCGGCATGGCACCTGGGGAAAGCATTAGCCGCTGCAGAGACTTTCTGTCCCCCTCTCTGCGGGCGGCGGGCGGGAGGAAGGTCACTCGGGGCCCCCTGTTCCCGGGAAGGTGACTTTCCAAGAGATTACCGGCCCCTCGGGACACATTTCAAAGAAGAGCAATTTGCAGTCGGGAGCTGGGAAAGGGCTTTCAGCGCCACTTGACATTAAGCCGGGAGACTGGAGATAATCTCCCCGTCCTACAAAGCAGCCGCCGGCCGCGGGTCCCCTCGGCCACGTGACTCACTCAGCAAGGCACAGACGACCCCGCATTGGAGAGGGACTCCTCAGAGGGGGGTAACTGACTGGCCAGACCAGCAGTGCGTCCCTTCTGCCTGCAAGCCGGGAAGCCAGGAGAAAGGCAGCATTTCCTCACGGCCAGCTGCCTCCGCCCAGCTCGGGAGATGCCTTGTGCCCGCTGCCCCGCAGCCCAGAGGCGCCCCCAGGGCCAGCGCAGGCCCTGGACACTCTGAGCAGGATCCAGGGAAACTGCTTGCAGGCCTGACCCCTGGGCAGTAAGTGGCGCTGGCCGCCTATAGCCCAGAGACACCGGCCACCACTCAGGCCCGTCCGGGGGCAGAGGAGCCCTTGCAAAGTCCCTTGGCTCTCTGCAACTCTGCCGAGGCTGTAGGGAGCGTGTGACGGCCCCATCCCCCAGCACGGCCCTGAGCTACCTCACTGACCCTCCAGCCTCAGAGCTGTGAAGCTTCTCGGTTGGGATCTGCGCCCACCCCATCCTGGGGGCCGTGCCCCGAGCCTGGCTCAGCAGGGGCTTGAGACAGTGGCTGTGAGAGGGACCCAGAGGGCACGGGGCCAGCAGCGGCGGAAAGAAGCCGCTCACCGGGCGGTGACAAATACACACGCGGGCACATCCGGCCCGACATCTGTCCCCAGCACAAGCCCGGACGCACAGCCACCTGGCACTGACCGGAGAGCACAGTCGTCCTCCGTGATGTCCTCCGCATCTGCCCAGGCGTCCTCTACACCCCCTGCCGGAGAAACCACCTGTGAGCCTTGAGCCCCCAGGCGCGCCCAGGCTCCCCCACTGCTCCCTCCAGGGGCAGCTCCGCTCGCCCCATGCCAGCAGGCGGGGGGGTGGGGGGGAGCCCCGGGCCCATCCTGGGCCACTCACCGGAGAAGATGTAGTTGTAGCCCGTGCGTCCGTACAGCTCCCCCCAGCCGGCCAGCGTGGCGGACCTGCAGATGTGCTGGGGGACATGGCGGGGTCAGCAGGGGCTCTCTGCGCCCCCAGCACTGACACACAGCCAGCAGGGGTCCCAAGATGCCATCGTGCTTAGCCTGTCAGGTCACGACCCCCAAAGCGCACACCCCCGAGAGCTCATGCCCAGAATCCCGCTTTACTTCAGGGATACAGCAGCCAGGGCTGCTCAGAAACCACACCTGGGGATGAAGCACCCAGGGGTGCCTGGCAGGCACTCCCAGGCCTATGTTCAGGAACCGCATGGTGCTGGGGGTGGACCTGGCCTCTCTAGCCGAATCTCTTTTTTTGATGAGACCATTGGCACTGGGCTGGAGCGACAGCACAGCAGTAGGGCATCTGCCTTGCACGCAGCCAACATGGCCGACCCGAGTTCGATTCCTCCGCCCCTCTCGGAGAGCCCGGCAAGCTACCGAGAGTATCTCGCCCGCACGGCAGAGCCTGGCAAGCTCCCCGTGACGTATCCGATATGCCAAACACAGTAACAAGTCTCACGATGGAGACATTACTGGGCCCGCTCGAGCAAATCGATGAACAATGGGAGGACCGTGACCATGACCATTGGCACGCTCACTGCGTCTTTTAAGAAGCAAGGATTGTGGACACTATTTTCCATACCGTGCTCTAGCGCCCCACAACTTTTAAAAAATCATTTTTATTTTATGGTTTATGGTTTGGTTTCTGGCCCACACGTTAGGGTGCTCAGGGCTTATCCTGCCTCAGCGCTCAGGGATCACTCCTGGCAGCGTTGGGGGGACCAGGGCAAGTGCAGGACACTGAAGCCGGGCAGGCGGCACGCAGGCAAGTGCCTTACCTGCTGTCCTGTCCCTCAGCCCCTCCTCACCCCACAGCCTTCATTCCAGAGCCTGCGAGCCCTTCCCCACTGTTCTGATAGTGCACCGAAAACACCCAGTTGCACAGCACCGGCATTAGGACACGCAGCGCGGGACTGTCACCTGGTAGAGAGGCGGGAAGGAGACAGCTCTGCGCTCGGGGAGCCCGGGGGCAACTTTGCTCTGCTGCCCACCTGCTGGGGGCAGTGGGGACTCAGACTGGGCCGGGGCGGGGGTGGTCTGACAGGCCAGTTGGGGCGGTTCAGCCCCTTGTCGATTCTATTACTCTTAGTCCTTCAGTACTTGAGGACCACACATCTGCATCGGGATCGACCCAGGACTCCCAAATACCAAGCTGGGGCCCTGGGGCCACCTCCCCTGCCCACCCGAACATTCCTGGTGATTCCTTGGAGAAGGAGGGGTGACAGGGAAGGGCACCTGGGAGCCACATTCCTGGCCTGGGGCTGCTGAGCTTTTTCTGGCTCCCGAAGTGTCCTGAAAATTTCATGGAAACAAACTTTGCAGAAGAGGTGCCCAGCTCAGATCTCGCCTGTAAGACCCAGTGGACTGTAGGGGTGAGGGGTGCTGAGCCCTGGGAGGGACCCTGAGTTCCCAATGGTGGGGGCTGCCACTGAGCGGAGGGGTGTGGCTAGGTGTGGCTAGCTGCGGCTGCCTGGGTATCTGAGCGTGACAGGCATGGCCAGGCCAAGCTCCGAGAGCCGCTCCTTAGCCTCCTGGCTGCAGGGCCCACCGCACCCATCACGTTCAGGGACGGGCTGCCCTTGGCCAAGTTGCTGTCCCGTGCCTCGGTCCTCTGATCATGCGTGCAGAACTGAGCCCGTAACAGTAAGACAGTTCTGAACGTGCAAAAGCCAAAACTTAACTCAGATCATGGTGATTCCAGTAGTGCAGGCCCTTGCTGCCTTTCTCCATGAAAAAAAGGCCCTGAGCAGGGAAGCGTAGGCAGCCCAGTGCCCTGGGGTCTGCGGGCAGAGGGACAGAGCTGGGCTCCCCTTGCTGGAGGGAGCAGGAGGACAACTCAGCCCGACACAACTGCCAAAACGCCTGAGCCAGGGCTGGAGAAACTGCACCGAGGGGCCGGAGCGATAGCACAGCGGGTAGGGCGTTTGCCTTGCATGCGGCCAACCTGGGTTCGATCCCCAGCATCCCATATTCCTGAGCGCAAAGCCAAGAATAACCCAAGCATCGCTGGGTGTGACCCAAAAAGCAAAAAAAAAAAAAAAAAAAAAGCAAAAGAAACTGCACCAAGAGCACAGTCCCTGAAACGCCTGAAGTGAGTTTTCAGTCAGTGAACCCGGTATGGGTCTAGGGAGGACAGTGGGCTGTGCTGGCCGGGTACCGGCTGATCCGGGTTCGATCCCCAGCACCACCAAGAGTAATCTCTGAGCATCACTGAGCGCGGCCCACCCACCCCCCCAAATTAATCACTGAAAATGTGAAAACATTACATCCACAGGTAGTCAGGAGAAAGACCTGGACCTTGCACTCGTACTGTCTTCACAAGTTGATCCGCCTCTTATACCTCAACGAGGATGCAGGCTTTCTAGCCGCCAAGTGAAGTTTTTGGCTTAACATTTTGTAAGCAGGAGTGACTGCTCAGAGGAGCAGCCAGGGTGGTGCGTGGCGTGTGGGAGCCCAGGTCTGATCCCTGGCACGCCTGATCCCAGAGCACTGCCCGGCTGTCCAAAACAAAGGCCTCAACAAAAATACCTGGCAGTTTTCACAGCTTCTCTAAAACTGAAGTTCATGAGGGAGCCAGAGAAAGCACAGCAGGTAGGGCGCTAGCCTTGCACGAAGCAGACCTGGGTTCAATCCCTAGCACCCCATATTATCCCTTGGGACCCGCCTGGAGTGATCCCTGAGCTTCGCTGGGTGTGGCCCTCCTGAGCCAAAAAACAAACAAACAAACAAACAAAAAACAACTTACGAGTTGTTAATGAAATTCTTATTTCCTCAGACAAGGAGGCTTTGAACCCTGGGGTCTGTGGCCGGAAACGAAACATGTGGGGCTTATGCTCAAAATAAGAGCACATAAAGTAGATCTAAAGGAGGCAACCACAACAGAGTCCAGGCAGCCAATCCATATTGCACTGCCTGGACGAGAAAGTGCAGGGCAGACAGGATTAACAGGCAAAGCCACAGCAACGTTTCAGAATGCTCAAGAACATTCCAGAACATTCCAGAACACCGAGCCTCTTCACAGCAGCTAGCACCCTGCACAAGGAGCTGCCCAGGTTTCTTCTCAGAAGGCTGGAGTCAGCCCACAAGGCAATACACTCCCACTGGACAGCACCGACAGTGTGGCTTTTCTTAAAGGCATTCCTGACATTCCTCCTCCAGGTGGGCACCAAAGTTCAGGAGAATTTCCAGCCGAGATGCTCTGAGCTCGGCCAGGGACTTCCTGGAGCCTTTATCACGTGCACACCAAAGAGGGACTTGGCAGCCCCAGGGGGGCGGTTGGTTGCATCTGGTCAAGCATGACCCCAAAGGGAAGTGCCCACCAAGCAGTCCTCCAGACAGGAAGTGCCCCTCACAGCAGCCCCCCCCCCCAGAGAAGAGGTGTCCCTCACAGCAGCCCCCCAGACAGGAAGTGCCCCTCACAGCAGCCCCCCCAGACAGGAAGTGCCCCTCACAGCAGCCCCCCTCGACAGGAAGTATCCCTTACAGCAGCCCCCAGAAAGGAAGTGTTCCTCAGAGCAGCCCCCCAGATGGGAAGTGTTCCTCACAGGAGCCCCCCCAGACAGGAAGTGCCCCTTATATCAGCCCCCCAGACAGGAAGTGCCCCTCACAGCAGCCCCCCAGAGAGGAAGTGTCCCTCACAGCAGCCCCCCAGACAGAAGTGTCCCTCACAAGAGCCCCCCCAGAGAGGAAGTGTCCCTCAGAGAAGTCCTCAGACAGGAAGTGCCCCTCACAACAGCCCCCAGAAAGGAAGTGTTCCTCAGAGCAGCCCCCCAGATGGGAAGTGTTCCTCACAGGAGCCCCCCCAGACAGGAAGTGCCCCTCACAGCAGCCCCACAGACAGAAACTGCCCCTTATATCAGCCCCCCAGACAGGAAGTGCCCCTCACAGCAGCCCCACAGACAGAAACTGCCCCTTATATCAGCCCCCCAGACAGGAAGTGCCCCTCACAGCAGCCCCCCAGAGAGGAAGTGTCCTCACAGCAGCCCCCCAGACAGAAGTGTCCCTCACAAGAGTCCCCCCAGAGAGGAAGTGCCCCTCAGAGAAGCCCCCAGACAGGAAGTGTCCCTCCCTCAGCAGCCCCCTAGTAGAAAGTACCCCTTATGGCAGCCCCTTTTTTGACAAGATGTGCCCCACAGCAAACCCCCAACGGAAGTGTCCCTCATGGCAGCCCCGACAGGAAGTGCCCTCATGGTACTCTGTGGTCAGCGTGTGATGCTGCGGTGACTGAACCACAGAACTTTGGGCAACAGGGGCCTGAATGCTCCCCGGCAGTTCCCAGGCACGAGGAGCTCCGGCAGCCCCAGTGGCCCTGCTTCCACCTCAGGACAGACAGGTCTGAAGGGGAGCGAAGGCGCCCCGGAAAAACACTTGCGCTTGCAGAAGCAGCGTCTGAAACTGTGGGTCTCACCCTGTGTGTGGTCATGTAGCTGGTTTTCGGGGTTTTATTTTGGGGGGAGCCAAACCCGGTGCTCAGGGATCAAGCGGGGGTCCCGCCCACCGTGTCGCTCCAGCCCCCAACTAGCTCTGAAGAAATTTTGTTTTGCAATAAATTCCTCGTTATTTCGCAGGAGACAGCGTGCGCTCTCTATCCCGAGTGTTCGGACCAGGGATGCAGGTACATCAAGAGCGCTGGGACAGAAGCACCAGATGAGGCGAAGGGGCCCGGCTGCTCCCCGACACCCCCCCCCCCCCCGGCCCTGTGCCAGGCTCCATCCCCCTCCCCTGCTCCCTGCCCCAGGAGGGCCCTGCTGGAGCCCACAGCTCTGCATACGCAGCGAGCACACACTCTGGGTCAGCGCTGGCGCCTGCACCCAAGCCGCCCCCCGACGCCCAGACTGCGGCCACCTCGCTGTCCGTCCCTCCCAAGTTCCTCTAGCTCAGTGTGGGGGCCTCGGGGGCAGACACGGGCCTCTGGGTGGGGCCCGTTTCGAGAAGCTCCGTGACCACTTAGAGCCGCTGCGGGGAGCAGCCCCGAGCACTGAGGGGTGGCCTCGAACCAGAACGGGACAGTAACGTCATCTATGAGGCGGGGACATCACCCAGAGCAGAGGGAGACGGCAGACAGGGAAAGGCGGGCCCTGGGACGCCCACTGGACACAGCACTGGCACAGGTCACACGTGTCACGCTCACATGTGCCCAGTGGGTTTCCTGCGGTGTCTGGTTCTGGGCCCACACCCGGCAGTGCTGGACTCTGGCTGAACATTTCCTGACAGCCATCCAGGGGGGCGTCTGCTCCCCCCGGGGGCTGGGGGCACACCGGGCGGTGCTCAGAGACTGCCGTCAAATTCCTGATGCAAAACCCCTTGCCCAGCCCAGGAGGGGATCTTGGGCAGCCGACACGCAGCCGTCCTTAAGGAGAAACTGCGGTGAATGGCCTCATCGGCAGGGGGAGAGCGAGATCTTCGGGGGCAGGACAGGGTGCACGGTGTGACCCTCCGACTCCACAGACTGCACTCAGGCACAACAAGGTCACCGCCTCACGTGCTCAGGCCAGACCCTCCCCTTGGCACGAAGTCAGAGGCCTCTGGCCCACGCGTGGCCTTACCTTGCCCCTGAACAGGATCACCGGGCAGACGAACCGGCCCCTGCACCGGGCCATCTTGCTGCGGTAGATGAGGTCTTGCAGCTTGTTCACCTGCATGGTGCTCTGGAACCTGGGGGCGGGTGGGAGACGCCATCAGGTATCCCGGGCGCGGGGCAGGCGCTCGGAGACCCCTGGCTTCTGCCCAGCGCACCCCCGACTGGGGAAAGTTGGTACAGGCGCCAAGTGCATCATCCCAGTGCATGGAGGAGACACATTTTTCGAGTAGAAGCCAGAGTACAGGCACGGCGATGTAGTCACCCTAATTTCAGAACTGGACTCGGGGTGGGGAAGCCAAGTCGTCCTTGGCTGGGAACCAGTGTTTGAGGTGAAACCAGGCTCCTGAGCGCCGAGACAGTACAGCAGGGAGGACGCTTGCCTGGCATGCGGCAGGCCAGTTTCGACCCCCTGCCCCACACATGGTCCCCCAGATCCCTGCCAGGAGCGAGCCGTGAGCAACGCGGGTGAGGCCCCTCCAGAAAACCACCAAAGTGGCCACTGCCGTGCAAGGCGCGCCAGCCCAGCACGCCCTCCCGTCCTCCAGAAGTCCAGGGATGGAAAATCGGGGCTGGGGGCCGGAGCAACAGTGGGCAAGGGGCTGGCCTTGCATGTGGCCGACTGGGTTTGATGCCCAGCATTCCATATGGTCGCCTGAGCACCGCCAGGAGTAACCCCTGAGCATCAGCGGGTGTGACCCAAACCCCACCCCCCCAAAAGAAAAGAAAATCAGGGCTGGGGACGTGCCATACGCCCCACGGCACTAACCACCAGAGTCCCCTCAGCATGAGAGGCACACACGAGAACCTTCTCCAGGGCCAAAGGAAGCAGGACAGCAGACCCGCAGAAGCGGGAGCCTTTCTGGGGACCTGCCGCCCTCCACCCTCGGCAACAAGCACCCGCTGAGCTCAGTTCCCCGGGGGGTCCAACCCACCTCGCAGCATCAGCGGCGGCCGACGGACCAACACACAGCGGCCGTGGGACTGCATCCGCAGGCCAGCACTGCCCTGCCGGGGCTCTGGACTGTCCCACACTAGCCAACCGGACACGGCGCCACCCCCCTCAGCTGCCAGGGGCTCACTCTCCTACTCCCCGACCTCAACACAACCCGAGGTTGTCCCCAGCGGCTCCCGTTTCCCTCGGTGGGCTCCTCACGACACTCATCCCTGCACACCTGTGTGAAGGTCTCTGTGTGTATGTGTGACCTCGGCATTTCTTTCAGGTATCGAGGGGATTAGACTGTGTTTCTCAAGAGCGGCAGAGGGAACACTCTAGAAGAATTGGGCGCCCGATGGGATGCCGGCCCAGCCCTCACGGCCATTGCCCCTCTCCACAGCTGAAGCAGCTTCACAGGAGAGCCAGAGCTGAAACTCGACTGGCCAAGGACGCCCCTGACCTCAGCCTCGCCCCTGATTTCCCACTCGGAGTCTGTCTTCCTCCCCTCTCTGGAGGAGCTCTGGTCAGGAACTTCTAGCCAGGAGAGGGCTGAAGGGGTCCTTGGACAGGTTAAGGGGGCTACTTTTGGAAAAGCCCCAGAGTGATCTGGGAAAACAACCTCGTGATTATAGGGGGAAACGCTCACCGCACAGCGGCTGGAGCCACAGGACAGCGAGAGGGCACCTGGCTCGCACATGGCTGACCAGGATTCCACCCCAGCAGCACAGAGGGTCCGGAGCTCTGCCGGGAGTGGGCCCTGAGCACAGAGCCAGGAGGGAACCCTGAGCACAGGGCTGGGAGTGAGCCTTGAGCACAAAGTCGGGAGGAAGCCCTGAGCATCACCAGATGTGACCACCACAGCTCCTCCCCGCAAAAGGAAATCACCTTTGGCCTCAAACTTTGAAGGGGCAAGGCTGGAGGCCGAGTCAATAAGCAACGATGCCCTCATTTGTGCAGGCAGGCTGGGGTCTGCCCAGGAGGGCGCGGAGTTCCCAGGCTGCTGGATGTGGGGGCTGGGGATGGTGGCCCGGAGAGGCTGGCCTTTCCCGACACCTGTCCTGGCCCCGCACGTCTCCCTGTCCTGCTCCTCCCTTTGCGGTGAGCGGAGGGAAACGCTCAGTTCTGGAGCTGCTCCAGCAAACTGGACCCAGGAGGGGCGTGTGGCTTCCCTCGCTGAGGCACAGGCCAGTCTGAAGGGGCCCCCGGGGGCGCAGAGGGGCCGAGCCCTCAGCCCTTAGCCTCTCCTTACTAGAGCCCTCAACATTCATGGGAACGCGAAGCCGCGTCCCTGAGGACCAGCCGGAAGTGAGCTGAGCGCGGGACAGATGGTGGAGGCCATGTGACGCCGTCTTCCCTGGCGGCCCTGCTGGACCCGGGGGTGGAACTTTTTTTTTTTTTTTTTTTGTGTGCTTTTTGGGTCACACCTGGCGATGCACAGGGGTTCCTCCTGGCTCTGCACTCAGGAATTACCCCTGGTGGTGCTCAGGGGACCATATGGGATGCTGGGAATCAAACCTGGGCTGGTTGCGTGCAAGGCACACGCCCTACCCGCTGTGCTATTGCTCCAGCCCCTCGGGGGTGGAACTTTAACCAAAGCCCAGCACCCCCTTTGCGCTCCAGGGGCGCCTGAGCGCGGAGCACCAGCCTAAGGTGGACCCCACTTCCTCTGCTTCGGGGTTCCCCAAGGTCTGCCACACACAGTCTTGCTCGTCTGAGGGATGAGCTTCCCTGGGCAGGGGGCTGCCAGGGCACGCTGCGTCCTAGTCAGCTCTACGGTGTCCCTCGGTCTGACGGGGGTCGGGCTGAAGCCCAAGGCAGAACTGGGAGGAAGCAGCAAGCCCCGCAGCCGCGCGGCCGCCTCCCTCCGCAGCGGGCCTGGAGCGAGACGCGGTGGGGAGGCCTGAGTAGACCCGGGTGAAGGCCAAGCCCGACCCGCTGGCTCACGGCGCTTAGCCGGGACCCGGGCAGTTCCGTCTCTGGTCCTCGGCTTCTCATCTGCGATGCCCCCTTCTGTGGGGGCTGCAGACCCAGACACTCTGCGACTCAGCCCCATCCTGCCAAGGGCTACAGGGCCCCGGGCAGCCACTTCCTTCCAGGAAAGTGTTCTCACGCCTCAGAGGACTAAGCACTGCCCCGGGGTCTGGCGGCAGAGAAGCGCAGGCCCCACGCTAGACCCCCTGAAACAGACTCTGGTCACCCCCCTAGTCTGGCGGGAGAGGCGCCCCCTGACTCCAGCGAGGCTGAAGAGCAGAACCGCCAGGGTAGAGTCAAAACCGCCCCACGAGCAGGACGGTGGAGGGGGCCGGGGAAGCACAGGCAGGAGCTGGCGCTAAGAACGGGCATGGAGTCCGGGGAACCCTCAAGAGGGGCACTTCCCTCACCCCCAAAAGCCTTGTGAGCTGGGCTGCTCAGGGCAGTGAAGAGACTTCCGGAGGGAGAGCACAGCGGGGAGGACACTCGCTCTGCAGCCCCGGCCCCCATGTGTCCCGCCAGGAGTGACCCCAGAGTGCAAAGCCAGCAGGAAGCCCAAGCACCAATGGTGTAACCCCAAAACAAAACACAACACCCCCAGCCCACAAGAAAGCAGGCTCAGACCTAGCACCTCCCCGACGGCAGCTCCCTGTTAAGGGTGTTTGCGTCAGCGGAAATATGCTCATGAGACTCTGGACACTGGCGCGGGGCCAGGGAGGGGCCTGAACCCCCCTCAGTGAGTGACTCCTTCAGGGGAGCTGGCAAACGACAGCCCGCACCCTCTGGCCTCCACACGTCAGCAGGCGCCCGAGGGGACGTCCCGCCACTCTGCCTGGGGCCTCCTGCAGGGGCACAGCAGGCAGCACCCTCCTCCCTAAGTGCCCGTGGCCCCCAGTAGCATCTCAGGATTGAGTTTAGTTGTGGTGCTGGGGCAGAACCAGAGCCTCACTCGTGCTCTGCCGCGACTGAACCAGTGCCTGTGATTTTAACGCAAGAGCTGGGCCCGAGATTTGGGGTCTCGAGCGAGCTGGTGCACACGGTGGGCACGCCACGAGGAGCGGCAGTCTCCACTGAGGCTCAGAACCTGCATCCGCGAGGCAGAGGCTGCTGCCAGGGCCCTCGGATCCCCAAGGAATCAGCCAGCGGGGCACAGGGTCCTTCCTGATCTGGGCTTTCCCTGTTCCCGGGCCTCGCCCGAGGCTCAGGGGTCCCGGCAATCAACCAGGGGTTGGCCGTGTAAGGCGAGTGCCCTCTCCACAGTAGCACTGCTCGGGCCCCCATGGTTACATCTTGCCAGGCAACTGCGAGCGCCTGGTACCTGCCACTGCGTCTATGCCAGGCGCAGGGGGCTCGGGCCTGCCTGGGGATCCACAGGGAGCGACTGGCCCGGGCCAGTGGCTGGGTTTGGATTCTCTGCGCAGGCCGGGGCTGCAGCCGCCTGGTTCTGTGTCCAGGGCTGCACAGCAGTTGCTTTCCCAAGTGGGGTGCAGTGAACATGCGGCCGGCAGGCAGAATGGGGCAGGCTAAGCCTGTGCCTCTGGTCAGTGCTCCGGGGCCACGCCCGGGCCCCCCAGCACCTCTGGGCACGCCGTAAGACCTGGAAGCTCATCACCCCTGAAGTAAAGGTGTCAATCGGGCCGCACCCCAGGGGAAAGGAGCCCCGAGGATGACATCCTGGTCCTAAGCGTGAGCGGCCATGCCCCCGCCCTGCCTGGGGGTGAAAGGTCGAGGTGTCATGTCCCCTGCAGCCCCCCCCCCCCGCAGCCCTAGGGGTCACGGGGCCACTCACGTATCTTTCTCCTTCTCGGAACTCTCATACTCCAGGATGACGATGTGCTGCGGGTAGTGGCCGCAAATGTCGCCGTTCACGTTCTGGATCACGCTGTAGCAGTAGTCTCGGCCGAACAGCTCCAGGCACCGCTTCTGAATGCGCTCCACCTGCAGACAGCACGGAGGTGAGGAGGCGGCGCTGGACAGGCCACCGGAATGGCAGCGGCCATGTGCGGGGCTTTAACGGGACACCCGTGACCCTGGCGTGACATGCTTCTGAAGGGACTGTGAATGTCTACCATTTTAGTTTTCGGGCCACACCCCAGCAGGTGCCCAGGGGTCTCTCCTGGCAGGATCAGGGGGACCGTATATGGTGCCAGGAACTGAACCCAGGTTGGCCGCACGCATGGCAAGTGCCCGCGAGCCGCTGGACTGTCTCTCCAGCCCGGAACGTCTGTCTGGGAAGCGCGTTCTCTTCGTGAAGACCCCAGGAGCACTGCAGGGGGCCACAACACAAGTCTCCGAGCTGCTGGATCTCCATTCCTTCCCCTGGAGTGACTGTCACCTTGCAGCGGTTCTGGGTTCACCCCCCCTCTCTAGGCACAGGCCAGCCCCAAGAAGTTCCAGTTGAAGGTAACGACAGCTTCTAACAAAGCTGCCTCCCAACACACCACTTAGAAATTCGATTTAAAAGCTCCAGGTTCCCCTAACTTGCTCCATTCACCACTTCAGGGAAAGGCTCAATGGTAAAAAGCCAGGAGATGTGCGACACTCAGGGGACTCCCGAGACCTGGAAGCCACGAGAGGGAGCAGGAGCAGCTGGAGAGCCAGCCAGGTGCAACTCAGAACCACCCGAACCCTCGGGGGCCCAGCAAAACCTGAGACCCTCTGGAGCGACTTAAAGCCACTTCCTGGAGAAGGCAGCAGCCCCTTGGGGAGGGGACAGGGGAGGAGAGTGAGAAATCCCAGGGCTCCAGCAGGCGGCCTCACATGTCCTCAGGAGCCTGTTAACCCAAAATGCAACAGGCCTTCGAGGACTGACACAGAAGGCTCCTGAACCCAGAGCCTGGCAGACCCCAAAACAAGCTTCGGGTCTCCAGGCTCATAAACGGGCTCAGCAGGGCTGGGTGGGACCAAGGAGTCAATCTGAACACACCCCGCAGCGCTGAGACAGGGGGTCCCCGGGCAGAGTCCTGCCAGCCCCCCAGCCAATGGGCGCCTTGGCCAGGGCAGTCTTGGGACTCCCAGCCCCCTCGTGGCCAGTGGGGGCGCCTGTGGCTCCCCAGCGCAGAACCGGGAACCTTTGGAGCCCCAACAGGTTTCATGCCCAGGCGGGCACAGAATCCCGCTGGAAAGGCGGACGCCAACCTGCCACGGGCGAACTAACTGGGAGTGGGGAGTGACGGGCGAGGGGGACGGGCCACGGACGGCGGGACTGCACCGAGGGCACGGGCGGTCGGCAAGGAGGAAGCCCAGCAGGGCTGGAATGTGCAGAAAAGGGGAATCGAGACCGGCGGCTGCCCAGGGACCTGGCCCGGGGGCCCGTGCGCGATCGCGCCCCGCAGGGAAGGCAGAGGCCGGGCTGGAGGGCAGGGAGGGGCAGCCGGCGCGTCCGCCGGGGACTCCGGCCTCGCATCGGACCCCGGCCGGCGCGACCCTCCAGGCCCGGGGACGCCCCTGCCCGGGGCTGCTCTCCCGCCGGGAGTCCCCGGCGCCGCCAGTCCCGAGCCCCAGGGCGCCCGCGCCCCCCGCCCGGCCCCGCGGCTCCTCGCCCCGACGCGACGCGGACCCGGGGCACTGCCCACTCCTCGCCGGACGCACCTTGGAGCCGCCCGTCCCGCCGCAGTCCTTGGCCCGGTACTGGGTCCGGGAGAACTCCTGCAGCAGCTCCCCGAGCCCGGGCTCCCGCGGCGGCGCGCCGCCCGCCGCCGCCGAGGAGCCCGCCGCCGCCGCCGCGTCCGCCCGAGCGCCGGCCATGGCCCGGCCCCGCGTCCCCCCCGGCGGGCCCGCGTCCCTCTCAGCGCGCCGCGGCCCGACCCATGGCCCCGGGGAGCCCAGACGCCAGCCCGGAACCTCCAGAACCGCCCCGGCCGCCGCCTTCCACCTCCACTTCCGGCCCCGCCCCGCCCGGCCGGATGTTTACTGCGGCTCCGCCAATGGGAGGCCGCGGCCCGCGCCCCGCCCCGCGCCCGCGGCCCACCCCTGACGCGGAGCGCCGCCAGTGGCCTCCCTGGAGGGGCCCCGCGGCCCGCGCCCTCGCGCCCCGCCCCGCGGGGTTTCCTCTGGGGAAGCCGGGCGAGACCATTGGAGCCGCGGGGGGCGGGGCCGGCCCGGGGGCGGGGCCGGCCCGGGGGCGGGGCCGGCCTGGGGGCGGGGCCAGCCCGGGGCGGGGCCAGCCCGGGTCGGGGCGGGGCCACGTCGCGCGCGCTCGGCGCTGCCCGATCGGAACCCCGGGCTCGGGCTCACGGATCCGTCGTGGTCGCCGCGGTCCCCGCTAGCTCCGGGGAGACACCTTCCCCCCTCCGTTCTGCAAAGCTCACGTAGGAAAGTCACGCTGGGTTCCATCCCCGCACCCGCCAGGACTAATCCCTGAGCGCCGCTGCTCGTGGGGCCCAAAACGGAAAATGGAAAACGAGCAGAAAAAGGAGCCGGAGGGAAAAGACGGCGGGTCGGGCGCTTGCCGGGTGCAGTCCCGGCTCCCCGTCTAAGGCCCCCCAGCACCCTAGGAGTGATTCCCGAGTGCAGAAGCCCTGAGCAATAACGGGTGTGGTCCCAGAACAAAAACCGCAGGACTCTAGCACTGTCCTCCCACTGTTCATCGATTTGCTCCAGTGGGCACCAGTGCCGTCTCCATGGTGAGACTTGTTGTTACTGTTTTTGGCGTTTCGAATGCGCCAGGGGAGCTTGCCAGGCTGTGCCGTGTGGGCAGGATACTCTCGGTAGCTTGCCGGGCTCTTCCAGAGGGACGGAGGGATCTGAACCCCTGTCCGCGGCGTGCAAGGCCAACGCCTTACCCGCTGTGCTATCATCGCTCCAGCCCAGAACAAAACCAGACCCAAAAAAACCCACACAACCCCAATCTGCTTTTTTTTCTCAACTGAGGTGTAATTGACATTTAACCTATTGACTTCATTGTACATATTGATTTAATATTGGTTTCTAGTGTGGAATAATCACCACATACACCTAACAACTGTCCCCGCTGAGCTAAACCTTTAAAACCTGACCTGGGTAGCAGCTGTCACGTGCAACACAGAATTGCCAAGGGCCGTCTCTGAGCTGACCAGTAGTTAACCCTCTAACTGACCTTTGTACCTTCTGTCCCCTGCACTCATGTGCCCTCTGCTCTATGTACGGGTTTGGTTTCGTTGTCATCTGTATGGTAGATTCCACATGGGAGTGACTGCATGCGTTTTTCATTCTCAGGCTTATTTCACCTGGCACAGTACCCTCAAGATACATCCCCTCTTGAGATGCCAAAATTTCCTTCTGCTGTGACTCAGTGGAGTTGTTTTCGACTAGAGAAAGATAATAGAAAGCCAGAGAAGAAAACAGGGAAAACCCTATTACTGTCTTCTTTGGACTGGGCCAAAGGCCTTTGGACTGGGTCAAAAGGCAATTATTTCCCTAAGTGCCAGCCTTTGAGAAGCCAGCCCGACAGCCTAATCACAGGACTGATGTCGTGGGCTTCAGCCAGAGGACAGAAGCCACCAATTAGAGAGCCAAGAATAGTTTAAGCTTGTTAACAATGATTAACTCTTTTGCCCACTTATCTCGTATTCCTCTTTTCTTTCTTTAAAACTCTCAACATTTAACCCTTCTTGTGACATATTTCGAATTTCTACCTGAAACCACGTACACCACATTACAATTCTTTGATTTCAAACATTTAATTGCCTATCATTTCAGCTCTTTTATTTATTTATTTATTTATTTTTGCTTTTTGGGTCACACCCAGCGATACACAGGGGTTACTCCTGGCTCATGCACTCAGGAATTACTCCTGGCAGTGCGCGGGGGACTATATGGGATGCTGGGAATCAAACCCGAGTTCGCCGCGTGCAAGGCAAACGCCCTACCCGCTGTGCTACCTCTCCAGCCCCTCAGCTCTTTATTTGTAGTTTGGCAATATATATCATGGGGCAAAGGATATGGTTTCACAGTACAGTGTGCGCACACGCACCTGCATGCACACACACACATATACACATGCACACATACGTACACACACATGCACACATGCACACACACACCAATATAGGTCACATTTTCTTTACCCATTCATTCTTGAAGGAACACTTGGTGATTTCTGCGACTCGACTATTAAAACTAGTGGTGCAAGAAACATAGGGGTAGATGTGTGCTTCAATTTGTTTCAGTTTGATTTGGGGGCCACACCCACTGGTGCTCAGGGCTTACTCCCGACTCTGAACAAAGGGATTATTCCCAACAGGCTCGGGGAATATATGAGATGCCAGGTTTAGAACTCAGGTCACGTAAAAGGCAGGCACCCTACCTGCCGTACAATTACTGTGGCCAAAAATGGATATATATGATTTTAGAATATTTTTGGGGATTTGGGATTTTTTTTTTCTTTCCTCTTTGTTCTGTTTTGTTTTGTTTTGTTTTTAGGCTACTCGCAGTTATGCTCAGGGGTTACTCCTGGCTCTGCACACAGGAATTACTCGTGACAGTGCCTGAGGGGACCAAATGGGATGTTGGGGATTGAACCTGTGTCAGGCACATGCAAGGTACTCACTTTACCGGCGGTACTATTGCTCCAGCTCCATATTTCTGCTTTTAATTTTTGCAGATCTTCTATACAGCTTCCCGCAGAGGCTACATCAATTTATATACCCATCACTGATGCAAAAGAATTCTCCTTCCTCCACATCCAACCCATAGGTTTGAGGAGGGCTGAGGACACGTTCAGCGTTGCTCAGGGTCTTCTCCTGGTTCTGTGCTCAGAGGTCACTCCTGGCAGGTCTTGGACTAGCGGATCGTATGTGATTCTGAGATTTGAGCCTGGGTTGGTCACGTGCAAGGCAAGAATCTTACCCACTCTTTATCTCTCTGACCCCACAACCTGGATTTTTTAGCAGGGTCGTCCCCACAGGTGCAAGGGATAGCAACTTGTGCTCTTGGCTTCCATGCCCCCCGCCATGAATTGTAGTGTTGAGCATCTTTTGTGTACTTGTAAGATTTTTTTATATCTTCTTTACCGTGTGTGTGTGTGTGTGTGTGTGTGACAGTGCTGAGGATCAAATCCAGGGCCTCCATGTGCTCCACTGAGTTACACCCACAGCCCCTCTTTATGTCTTCCTTAGAAAAATGTCTCTTCACCGAAAAACAGAAGAAAAGAAAAGAAAAACTTTTCGATATATATTGTTAGCACTGTAGCACTGTCCTCCGGTTGTTCATTGATTTGCTCAAGCGGACATCAGTAATGTCTCCATTGCGAGACTGGTTGTTACTGTTTTGGGCATATCAAATACACCACAAGGAGCTTGCCAGGCTCTGCTGTGCAAGCAGGATATTCTCAGTAGCTTGCCAGGCTTGCTGAGAGGGATGGAGGAATCGAACCTGGGTCGGCTGCATGCAAGGCAAATGCCCTTCCCGCTGTGCTATCACTCCGGCCCATATGTGTGTATATATATATATATATGTATACATATGTATATATATGTATATATGCATATATATATTAGAGAAAAAGGAGAGTGGATAAGGCAACAGCCTTGCACACAGCCAACTCAAGTTTGATCCCTGCCACCACCTATGGTCCCTCAAGCACTTCCGGGAGTGATTCCTAAGCACAAACTCAGATGTCCTGAGTACCCCTGGGCATATGCAAAAGCCAAATAACAAAAATGATATTGTAAGTCCAGCCACAGCCATGCTTAAGACCACTCTCCACACGTTCGGACGAGCCTCACGCATGAAGGGACCAGAAGAGGAACCCAGGTGTGCGGGACCCGGGGTGTAGATCTCCAAGCCTGCTCGGAATGAGACTGGGGACTCCTCCACCCAGATCCCCCACCTTCCAGGCATTACACCCACCAACTGCCCCCAGCGCCATGTAATCCCATCAAGACCAAGACCCAGAGACTATAAAACCCTACTCCCGGAAGCATGCAGCCACATTTGCGGCCGTGCGACATCTTATTATCTAGGTCTTACTCTGGTGTACCTGGCAGGCTACCAAAAGTATCCTGCCCACACAGCAGAGTCTGGCAAACTCCCCGTGGCATATTCAATATGCCAAAAACCAGTAACAATGATGGGTCTCATTCTCCTGACCCTGAAAGAGCCTAGAATGTGGCACTTTCTAAAATCTCAGGGCTAGGACGAAGGAGACGTTACTGAGGCCTGCTCAAGGTAATCGATGACCAACAGGATGACAGTGATACAGTGATTGTAAGTCATGGTTTTTAAATAAAAAAAATTGATTGGAAGGGCTGTAGAGATAGTAGAGTGGGTAGGGCTCTTGCCTTGCACACACGGACTAGATTGTCAGGAGTGATTTCTGATTTAGAGCCAGGAGTGATCCTGAGCTCCACCGGGTGTGGCTCCCACCAATAAAATTGATTGGATTCTGAAGAGCATCAGGGAGAAGTGAATTGTTTTGTACACAGTCTATGCAACCACCAGCATCACACCTGGACCCCCAAGCACCTTCAGGAGGGATCCCTGAGCACAGAGCAGGAGTCAGCCCTAAACACTTCAGAGTGTGACTCCAAAGGAATAAAGAAATCTATACATGCATAGATAAATAAAGATAAAGTAACTGGAAAAAGATTAAGAATGGGAATCATAAGACTGAAACAGGATGACATGCAAAGAAAACAGATGGGAAGGAAAACCACGTAGAAGTTCTAAAAATGAAAAAATATAATAATTAAAGCTTAAAGTTCATTGAATGAATTGAACAGACTAAATATAGCTGGGGGAAGAAATAATTAGTAATTTTGAAGATAAACCTGATAAAATGATCAGAACGTGGCATAAAAACTACAGAATAGAGTTAGCATGTAGGACACAGAGAACGGAACAGGAAAGTCCAACGCGTACTGAACAGAAGTTCCGAAAGAGAAAAGGAAAGAATG